CCGATTTATCATGTGGTAGTCCTAAGAAGAGGATTAACAGTCAAATATTTTTCTCTGAAGTCTTAATTTCAGTCAACATCAGTAATGTAAACAGTTTTTTTTTTTCTTTTTGGCCGTTTGCCTCGAATAAAATAGCCATCGAGATTTCAAACGCGCAGTGTAAGCAGACGTCTTCATCCCCCATGTCGACGCTTCGCGAGGATCGCCCATTGGTCGGAAGTTTCCGTCTCACGTGATCTGACTCCCCCTCGAAAGCTGGGTGGAGTGCGAGGGGTCTCTTTCTAAATTAGTGAATTTCCGTCAGATTCGGCATTTTCTTCTCCCATCTGAACGCGATCGCAAATCTTTCACTTGTTTATCCCCAAAAGCAATATCTAAGAATGGTAAGTGATTTTCTATTTTATTGCATTGCATTGTCGCTGAATTTTAAAATTCCAATACCGAAATCTCACTAGTGTATCCTGTTTGGAATTGAATAGTGACGTCAAGCTTAGTTTAAAATGACGTTTAATTGCATTTTTAAAAGACTTTCATATTGCATTTAGAACTAAAAAAAACTTGATTAATTTTTTCCTTTTCACTTTTATGGAATTTTTACCTTATTGTTATAGGATTCTAATAAATTCGTTGCAACTGGCCGTAAACTCTAAATTTCATTCTTTGCGACTGATTTGTTAACATGCAGATTATTAAATAATCATTCCTAAAAAACTGCATATTAGAACTTTCAAATCGTTGTAAATCATAAAAATACACTCTGTGAATACTCTTGAGGATTTTAATTCCTAACACGTAATTTGTAGAATTTATTTATTTAATTTATTTTAATTATCTCTGCTATACCCCGTATGCTTTGAATCACCAATAAATAATTAAAAAAGGTGAATGGACAGCTAAATCAACAGAATCGTTGACCGAATTTCAGTTTGCTTCGCTTTGATGAGTCGGCTGTCTTATTTTACACTGGCATGAAATTCAATAGATAGAACAAAAAGGCTTGGAGTGACGTTCGCGAGTGTGTGTCTTTGTCAGTAAGGCCGAAGACTGACGAATTCATTTCAAAATTTAGCCATGTTCGTTCTCGAAACACATTTAAAGATAAATTAAGTGAATATTCTAAAAATTTTCAGAACCTAGCGCTAAAAATCTAGGGGGATATGGTACTTGTAAGCGTATAGGGGTGTTTGTTATCCATTGAAACAAAATATCATTAATATCTATTCTGAAATTTACAGTTTTGAAAAGCTGGCGTTTGCATCATCTCGTATTAAGAATGTATTCTAAAAGAACTAGCAGGAAATATGACTGGTATTATATTTTATTATTTTGAATAATCGTGCGTCTGTAACAGCACTCCTAGTCTGCAAATGTAGATAAACCCAGAATTTTTTTCGGGGGCAGCGATATCATCTTTCTAACAGTCTTGCGTATTTTTGTATTGATATATTTTCTTGACATTCCTTTCCTACCTTAATCTTCTGAAACTAGTTTAACTTGCTTATAAATTGAGCTATTTCGGTATTTAATCATTTCCTGAAAAATGTATCAAGAATAATTTAGGAATTCCATGCATATTATCTTACGTTAACAATACAGAATATATCTTCGAGCTTGGTGAGTACTTGGTCAGTGCCTGTTATACTTGTTTATGTGTATTTGTACTAACTTTCAATACTTTCTCTCTATCGGTATTATTTTAGTTCAAGTAAATGATGTTTTGATCTTAAACGATTGTCCTAACAAAATTGTTTAAAATTAACAGCTTCATTGCTTTAAAATTATTCGGTGTTTATAATGCAAAAATTTCGCCTTGTAAAGCTTTGCAGCAGTTTTCAAGAACTGAAACCGTCCTGTCAGGTCGTTGGAGGCGCCATCTGTCGACGATTGTGTAAAATTATCGGTGACCCTCCATTATTTGCTTTATTTCATATATCCATCATGAGAGGGCGCCACTGACAGAAATTGGTGTTTTTAAAAAATCATTTCTGATTTTTTGCTTTATCTTTTGCATTTATTGAGGGAGTTGACTATCTTGGTAGATTACTACTGAAATTTTGTGTTGCTTTTTATGATTTATGGAAATTTTTTTACATTTAAACTTAAATAATGCAAATATGTGTTTACCCTCTTTATGATCTTAATTGTAAAGAGGGCTTAAGACTATTTAGAACAGGGGTGGCCAAGCTCCTTGATAATCCAAGCCAAAAAAGTATTAAAAATTTTTTTTACAGAAATTATATTTATTGAAAACATATAAAGTACAAAATATGTATTGTATATTAATTTTTAATATGAATTTAAATATTAAAAGTTACACATTTATTTTACTTCTCTTGATAATTCTTTAAAATTTGGTGAGTAATTCTCTGAGATGCTGGTTAGTTAATACTGATCCGTGTTTAGATTTCACGAATTTTAAAGTGGGATAAAATTATTCACATGAGTACGTTGTTCCGAATATTGAAATAATTCAACAAGCAGTCTTTTTAAATTCAGGATACTTCGATTCTAGCACAAATTTCTAAAATTCTATAATCGGCATCGATTTATATTTTAATTGTAAAGCTTGATCTTGCATCTCTATTAATTCTAATTCTCCAGATGCTTTTTGGGTCATAATTATATTAGAAATGGAAAACTCGCCTTGAATTATGTTAATTTTAAATGGATTCAGAAAAAAATCAAGAGACGATGGACGGAAATGAAATTTGTTACAACATTGCCCTTAGTCTTTCATATTTATTGTCTGTAATTTAAAAGACATTTTGGAAAACATACGGAACAATAATTTTTTAAAATACGATAACACAAAAATGAAAAAGGTACTGGGGTACATTTAAGACTCAATAACACGCCGAACAAATACTAATTCAGAAGTCAAACAACAAAAATCAACGTTATATTTTCACAATTTTCAAGGACTAGTTTCGATGGTTTTACCGAACCACCATCTGCAGCTGCATAATGCTGATTTTCGTTGTTTTACTTTTGAATTGGGATACATTTATCGAGAGCCACAGTAATCCTTCAAAGGCCACCCCTAGAATAAAATAGTTGAAATAAAGTAGTATAAGTAGTAGTAGAATAAAGTAGTATAAATAAAAGTAGTACTTTGGAAGTTTATTACTAAAAATTGACTAATAAAATTTTCGTGACTCAAAAGTTGCTGAAATCCTCCAAAAAAGTGTCAGCCATAAAAGAATTTTCTTATGTTTTGTCTACGTACTATTTCCCAGTAACCTGTCTCCCCTCAAATAAATATCGAGTACGTAAATATAGTCACATCCTTTTTTATATAAATGAAACATTTGTTTTTCAAAATAAATTTTTTTATTTTTTTTTAGTATGAGAGGATATATTTATCTTTATTTATTAAAATATGAATTAATTTTAAAATTAATAAATTTTTGTCCGCATTTGAGCTATAAAAATGCAATAGTAAAAAAACAGTTAAACAAAGGGGTAAAACAACAGAAAGTAAAAAATTATGCATTTTACCTCTTTATTTTATTTATGTATTCATATTCAGAACTTATTTACTTTCCACTAACAATTAGGAGAGGTTACTTTTAAACTGGAACTGACATTCGCTTTACAATATTTGCAAGTCAGAAATTCAAAATGACATTTTCTGTGACTTCTGGCCTTGATAAGTTTGTACAAAGGGGTGAGGTTATATTCATTACCTGTTAAAATAAAAGTACTGACAAATATGTTTGCAAATTTTTTTATCATAATTTGTACCCAAATTGGCCAATTTAAGACTTAATTCGGATCATACAGCTGATGAAAGTCTTCCTACATGTTCATCTAAGAAAGGACCTTACAGGACCATCTAGGATTTGTAAGGAGTTATGTGAACAGAGTACAGTGTCACAAGATAGAGCTTCATTTCAATAGGTTAATCTGTAGGCACTGAAGGCAGACTTGTTGATATAGCTCACTATTAAGTCCCAGTGCATTAGTGAACTAATGTCAGCTCCATTTTCCTTTCAAAATTTATCCTACAAAAGATAAATGCAGTTGTTTCCACACATTATCATCTGAGGGTATGAGATCAAATTTACATATTGAATATAAATTTTAGTACTCCTTATGGAGCCTTATCTAAAAATTTTGGAGTTTCCCTGTGCATGGAGCGAGCATTGTCCTGTCATGTTTTTCAGCATGTTCTGGAACTTTTTCTTGAATGATTCATTCAAATTAACTTCTGTTTGTAAATTTAAGCATTCATTGTCTGACTTCATTGTAACGGTTGAATTTTTGTTTTTCCTTGCTCTCCCATGCAGCAAGGCAATATTTTTAAACCACTGAAACACTCTAACAAGTCTCATTCAATGGGATGTATTCACCATTAATTTGCAACCACAAATCATAAGTTTCTGCTGAAATTTTCTTTGCAGTAAAACATTGAGTTAAACTTCTTTCAAAAGCTTTTATTTTCACATAATGACATTTATAATGAGGGAAAAATCATGATTTGCATTTGAATTAGCTATTTCATACTAAGAACTAAAAGATGTCAAGTCTCCTAAATACAAGCGTATCTAAATTCAGTTGCATGCACGAAGTTATACATGCAAGTTTCATTCAGTTGCATGCAAGTTGTTAGTTATACTAACATTTGTTAGTAAATGGGAATATCATTTAATTATTGAATAATTTTTATGGCTTGCATTGAACGAGGTGCATTTTTTAAGTATTTCTGTCATTTAACCAATTGTGTTGTTTCAAGAGACATAAATCACCATTATTATGAAATTTAAAAATTGCATGTTTATACATCTAATACCTTTCAATAGAGTAAAACTGTGCTTATTTAAACTTTGCTTGGCTGAAATCTCATTTTATGAAATAAACTAAGGTGAATTATTTAATGAAATTTGATTATTCAAACACAATAAGTCTTTTCTTTTCAGATAAATCTTTTCTTTCAAATAAATTAAATATGTAAAAATAATTTATGATCTAGAATTCTTACATTTCATTATCTTTTATAGGATAAGAAAGAAGAATCAACTTTATCTGATAAGGCTCCTGAGAAAGCAGGCGCAGAAGAGAATGGAGAAGCTAAAAAAGCTGACACTGAAAGTGCAGGATCGGGAGATACTCCAACTGATATAGTTCAGGACAGTCCAGGCAAAGAATCCCCAACAGTTGCTGTGATATCAGAAGTCCAGTCTCCTACTCAGACTTTGCCTGCAAGTGAAGAACAGAAAAGTCAAACAGTTCAATCTCCAACTGCAGTCATTGAAGCTAAAATTGAAACAACAGGTGAAGCTGCCACGAAAGATTCTTCTGAAACACCAGTTGCATCACTTGTACAAGAGGTGAAAGCTGAAGTTCTTACTAAAGAAACAGTATCTGCAGAAGACTTACCAAAATCAGAACTCCGTGAGAAGGAAGCTAAACCTGAGCCTGTTGTAGAGGAAAAAGTTGAATCTCCTGTTGAGGAAATAAAAGTTCAGTCACCGGTTGCTGAGGAAGCGAAAGTTCAGTCACCAGTTGCTGAGGAAGCGAAAGTTCAGTCACCAGTTGCTGAGGAAGCGAAAGTTCAGTCACCAGTTGCTGAGGAAGCGAAAGTTCAGTCACCAGTTGCTGAGGAAGCAAAAGTTCAGTCACCGATTGCTGAAGAAGCAAAAGTTCAGTCGCCAGTTGCTGAGGAAGTGAAAGTTCAGTCACCAGTTGCTGAGGAAGCAAAAGTTCAGTCACCAGTTGCTGAGGAAGCAAAAGTTCAGTCACCAGTTGCTGAGGAAGCAAAAGTTCAGTCACCAGTTGCTGAGGAAGCGAAAGTTCAGTCACCAATTGCTGAGGAAGCAAAAGTTCAGTCACCAGTTGCTGAGGATACAAAGGTTGACGAGGAAAAGGCTAAAGTTGAAATCCCTGTCGAAGAGAAAAAGGTTGAAATACCTCTTGAAGAATCAAAGCCTGAATCTCCTGTAGAAGAAAAACCAGAACCTCTTCCCGTTGAAGAAGTAAAACCAGAACCACCTACTGTTGAAGAAAAGCCTGAGCCTTCTGCTGATGCAGCATCTCCAGTTGTCGAAAAGGCTTCAGAAGCTAAAAGTGAACCATCCATTGCACAATCTGCTGATATAGTGTCACCTGCTGTAGCTGTTCCTAGTTCTGAAAGTTCAGAAAGTATTAAACAGGAAAATTCTGTTCCTGAACCTCCTTCAGCTGAAGAACCTAAAGCAGCAGATATTCCAGTTGAAGAAAAGAAAGAAGCAGAACCTGTATCTCTAGATCAAAGCAAACAAGATATTCCTGAAGAAGTAAAATCCGTTCCAGGGGATGAAGTGAAGTCAGAATCCCCTGTTGAACAAAAGCATGAGATCCGTACCGAAGAATCAAAACCATCTCCAGTCGAGGGAAAAACACAAAATGAAGTAACAGAGAATCAAGCAAATGCGACCAATGGAGTTAAAGAAAATGGGGAACAGCAAGAGGTATGTTTTATTCAACTTCATATTTTTAAATTCTAATTAATTTAAAATTTTGAGATCTGTTTTTATTTTAAATCCATTAATTCGTTAAATGCATGACAGCAATTAATCTTAATTTTTTGATAAAATTATTTCATAAAATACTAACTAATGGCTTATACAGTCAAAAGTCGTTAATCCGAACTCGTCGGGACTTCGGCGATTCCGGATTATCGATTTTTCCGGATTACAGATCATCAGTTTAAATCTGGTAAAATGGCATGCAGAAATTATAAAAGTAAAAATATGAAATCGTAATTTACGAAATAAAGAACAATTATGATCTAAAGGGTATCAAAATTTACAAAAAAAAAAAAAAGCTTAATATTTATTTGTTTACTTTATTAAACATTTCTTTCAATGTAAGTTGTATCAGTTGCTTCGTTTTTTATGTGATAATACATTCTCTTTAATTCTATAAACAGACATAATTTCGCGTTCAGTTACAAAGTTCCGCTGTTCAAGTCCTATAATTGCTGTGTCGAGAATACCGACTGATTTGTCAATCGAAATTTTTTCGTTTTCAATAACCTATGTCACTTTCTTCGCTATCGGAAGCGAATTATAATGACGAGGCATTTGATTTAAATCATATCAAAGACGAGATGAAATACTACATTGAGTAAGCAATTATAAGCCAAATAAAATAAAAACATCTGCCCTTAAGATAAGGATAGTGCTGACAAATCAACTTCCAATTCATTGCACGCCACCGCGGCGTTAAAGATAAACAAAGTTTAGATAAACAAAGAATATGCCTTTATCCATTTTTTGTTTAATGGACTCCGAAAGATACTTTCGCTTTGTATATCCTTTACATATTAGTAAATATATATCGGAAATTCTATTTGACATAATCGAAAGTTCAAGCTTACTTTTATAAAATTGCTCTAACAGTCTGCAAAAAATAATAATCCGGATCCAACTCGAAGATTAAGGAACAACGCAATCTACAACATTAACTGAAATAGATAATTAGATAATTTTAGCTTAGCTTATCCCGTCCGTTATACATTAACGTTATACATTCGTAAACGTATTTTGCGCACGCGCACACGCAAATTCGCAGCGGTAAAGGTCTTACGCGCATGCGTCAACGCGACGCATGCGCAGAAAGTTTGTAGCTTTGAGGTCCGGATTATAGATCATTCCGGATTATGGGTGTCCGAATTAACGACTTTTGACTGTATATAAAAGGTATGGCCAAAGAGCAGTGTCTGAGAAGCATGTGGCTCTTTGGTCCTTGATTGTAATGCAAGTTGTACTAGACAATTTCATTTTTGAGCTATTATTTTAAAATAAAAAGAGATCTTGCAACAACATGCTGTTTTAAAAGGTTAATTTAATTTCTTGAATAAATGTGTATTTTATAAAAATTTTAAATTGTGTCCTGTTGCTGTAATTTGCTGCTGTGACAATGTTACTAGAGAAGCAGTAAAGATGTATACAGTACAGACAGTAGTACAGTACAAATTCTTTAATCCAGAATGATCTATAATCCGGAAAGCTACAAACTTTCTGTGCATGCGTAAATGCATAATGCGCTTACGCATATGCATAATACCTTTATGCATGCACATATGCGGTTACGCATGCACATTTAATGTATAACAGACGATATAAGCTAGGCTAAAATTATATAATAATCTATTTCAGTTAATGTTGCAGATTGCACTGTTCCTTAATCTTCTAATTGGATCCGGCTTGTTATTTTTTGCAGACTGTAAGAGCAGTTTTATAAAAAGTAAGCTTGAACTTTCGATTATGTCAAAAAGAGTTTCTGATTCTGGAGCTGCCAAAGGATCTACAAAGCGAAAGCATGTTTTGATGTCCATCAAACAAAAAGTGGAATTGCTGCAAAAAATGTACAAAGGCATGAAGAAAGTAACAGAGGTTAGTGAAAACGAAAGAATTTCGATTGACAAGTTCATCGGTATTCTCGACACAGCAATTACAGGACTAGAACAGCAGAACTTTGTAACTGAACAAGAAATTGTCTGTTTATAGAATTAGAGAAAGTATTAACACATAAAACTAAGGAACTTAAACAACTTACATTGAAAGAAATGTTTAATAAAGTAAACAAATAAATATTATTAAGCTTTTTTTTTTTGTAAATTTTGATACCCTTTAGATTATAAATGCTCTTTATTTCATAAATTATAGTTTCATATTTTTAATTTTATAATTTCTGCATGCCATCTTACCAGATTTAAATTCATGATCTATAATCCGAAAAAATCCCTAATCCGGAATTGCCGAAGTCCCGACAAGTCCGGATTAAAGACTTTGTACTGCAACATGTTAATTGATGATGCACAGTACCTTAAATTGTACTGAACGGCATTAAGAATACAGAGTGAGCAAGAAGAGTGTCAGAACGGCATTAAGAAATATACTCCCATTTATGCAGATTCTTCATTATTTAATTTCTTTAAATATAATACAGGGCGATAATATTTGGTGGCAACAATTTGAAAAGTAAATCAATGCTTGTAGTGAATCAACTCAAAATTATTAAATGAAATTAATAGTGCTTCTGGGCAAATTGCCCCTTTGGACTAATATTTTTACTATGTAATAAGAATTTTACGTTTTTATCTTGGCCTGTTGCATAGAACTTTTTTAATTTTGTAATCAGGAGACAATTTTACGTTCATTATTAAATTCTTGCAAAATACTAAATGTCTATACTTTTTTGAATTTTTCCTGTACAATTAACTTTCGAGAAGTGGCAATATCTAAATTTATTATTGCCTTGGATTCTGTCGGAACTATCTGGGGAATTGTATCAGCTATTTCTATTTCTATTTCACTTTCGTATATATAATCCATAATCTGAAATATATGTAAATTAGATGTTTCAGGATTTCCAACCATTCATACAATCACCGTATGTGGGTTTGTTCTGCTACTAGTCATAGCACTCATATATTTTTCTGAGCATTAGGAGTTTGGCCCTCAAATTTCAAAATTTTTTCAAAATATCATGAATAAGTGATATTTTCTAGATTATAATTCTAAAATGATTCTCTCACTTCCAATATACATACAACTCGAAATTGGATTGATCAAGATCTAGCAGAAATTTTCATCTATAAAGAACTAAAATTTCCGCTTTCATTCTGAAACAGATTACCAAAAATAAAAAATGCTGCAATTGAATGAAGGTCAAAATTTTCCAGTCTCTATAAATTCTACCATAACAAACATGGCTACACCTAGTAGCAACAAAAAGTGCTGATAGAAAATTTCTATCTAAAAATTTGTATGTGGTAGACTCATCGTACGAGTTGATATAAACAGCAACTTGTATATGAATGCGAGATCGTGGCAGCCAATATATGGGACACATCCATTACAAAAGGGTTAATCTACTGTAGACATTTGTAAATTTTTATATGAAGGTTCAAGCACTGTTTAATCATTTAATTTTGTTTACTTCGATAATATGGTACATTACTAAGTTTAAGTACTGCACAAGTACTATGTACATTACTTTATCATATAAAAGTACTTTGATAAACAAAGCTTTCTTTCTCTACTTGAAATTTTCTCAGCATAAGTGTTAAGAAAATTTTAAAAAATTAAATTAGCCAAAAAACATAAAATTAGAATATGTAATTAACCAGTTAACTGTGATTGACGAGTATACTTGTCATGGAGAATTGACATGATTTTGTGTATTGATGAGTATACTCGTCATGCGTATAAAGCAGTGACCATTGGCTATTTAAATTGCAATTTTTGAGACGTGCTTTACACCCCCCACACTGATACCACTGAAATCCACACCCATGAGTAAGGCCCTAGACCAATTTCAACACTCTACAAACTTTCCACAAAACAATCAGAAGGCAGTGAAATACCAAATTCCCGAGCTTGCCGCATTTTAAAAAGTATATATAAGGGTTCTGTCGCATTTTCTAATTACTTTACATCCATAAAACTCTGTGACTTCCTGAAAGCTAACTCGTGAGCAGTGCAGCAACTTTGAATTTTTGGTGATATTGATCTTCATCTTGCTGTATCAAATCCCAAAATGTGTGTGTCAATGTATATCTTACCAAGTGTCAGCAATTCTTGGCAAGTAAGTACAGTGCAATGTAAAAATTTCAAGTGTGTAAATATTAGTTTGTCCAGAAAAGTTCTGTAAATTACTTTTTTTTTTTTTTTTTTTTTTTACTTTGTCTCCCAAACGAGCAATTATAGCAGCGACCACGACATCTTTTCACCTACGAAATGAAGCGAAGACGTTTATGACTACTTTCATCATCTTCTGAGGACGTCAGCGATGAAGACAGTGAACCTGATACTCAAATACTCAATTCGATCGCAGCATATTTGAAGATACTGACTCTGAGGACTGTGAAATTAAGAATGAAAATCCATATACAAACCAGTGCAACTTAATCTGTGATTGACAAATATACTCGTCATGGCTCGATTCTGGCGACATAAAATGGCACACACTCTTAAACGAGGGTGCCACAGTTGACTGGTTAAATGCTAACATATTTTACATCAAAACTGATTTATGAATCCTTAGGTTGAGTTTTAGTGCGCTTCACCGTAATCTACCAAACCAGACAAAACACTTGTTTTAATGGTAATCTTTCACTCCTTCCTTTTTGATCTACCAGTGGCCAAGTAGTAAAGTTGCTGAACACTAGTAGTTTGACTTAGGTTCGATTCCAGGTGAATGAATGGGTTTCTTGCCTGAGGCATTTTTGTAGTTTTTCCCATGTTAAACATGGATACAAGCCAGTACCTCTAACAAAGTCCTCCATGAAGCCAACCCTTCTCTTAAGCATGTAATTCTTTGCCAAAATCAAATAAATGAAAACTCCCCCCTTTTTTGTAACTTGGTTTGTTGTATCCTCAAAACTAAACCTCTCTCTAATACTAGATAGAACAAGAAAATGTAAATAAAGAAATCCATAATTCTGCAAAAAAAAAAAGTAGACAGCTTGTGTTGCAATTTATTGTCAAAGTTCTTGGCACAAAGATATCGCTGTACTAAACTTCTTTTTTATTTACAGGAGACAAATGTAACAACAAATGGTCCTGTTGAAATTCCCACTTTAATTTTTTGGAAAAATGGAGGAAGTCAAGTTTCGGTGTCTGGAGATTTTAACAAATGGGAAGATAATTGTGTACTTAATGAACAGTAAGTAAACTCAAATTTTTCAGTTTTGTTTATACCTTTAGATTATTTTTTTAAATATTGTACAAAAATTTTGTGTAATGCCGAAGATTGTTAAACCTCATACATTACTAAATTTGTAAGGGCAGATATTAACATGTTACAGCCTCATACATTAACAATTGTTAAACCTCATACATTACTAGATTTGTAAGGGCAGATATTAACATGCTCCTATCCATTAAAAACTGTTAGGACTGCAAACTGTGAGGGATATTTCTAAATTTCTAGGAATTTAGGTAAAATTTTTTTGTTAATTTTCAATTTAATCTCCATTTTACAGATGCATTTAGCCCAATGAAAAACTTATTCTTAAAATTTTTCTTTCTTCTGTCCACCTATTTCTGGAATGGTTAAACTCTCAAACTGAACAGCTTATGAAGATTTTTTTCAAATGTGGGAATAGAATCCTCTTTGCTGAGCAATTTGTAAAAGTTTTCATAACAAAAAAAAAAAAAAAAAAAAAAAACACTGTACTTATACAGTGTTTTGAATTTTTACATATATAAATAGTTCTAGTGAAATTATATTTTAAATTGTAGTATCTTTTTCATAACGTAATATAAAATATTAAAAGAGAAGATGATGCTCTGCCATAAAAATAAGAATACAGGGACAAGTCTTGATGCTACTTTGGTAGACAGTTGCACAGATTTTTGGCAATTTACATTGGTGCAATTGTTGGCACAGTTTTTAGTCGTGAGCCATTTTGAAAAATGCTGTTTTTATGTATTTTACGCATAAGTATTCGAAACTTAAAAATAATAAATATCGTTACAAATAATGGATTAATTTTTTGTTGAAAACATTGTTTTTTAAGATAGCTGGCAAATGTAAATAAATACATTTACTAAGAGTATAAAATGCTATAGTAAGGTTAAATTATTACTTTCATATAATAGAATAAAACACCGCTATAAAAACATTGCGCCAACATTTAATTGGTTTAAAATATTACTTAAATTGAATATCAAATTAAAAACATCATACCGACGTTTAAAAGAATTAAGATATTACTTAAATTCAAATACTTTAAAATAAGTGTTATAGGATTTAATTATTTAATATTAAAACATATGTGGCAATAAATATCTCAGGAATTTTTGAAAACATTGTATTCATTTTTTAATAAAAATTGAAGTATACAATTATAAAGTAAAAGAAAATTATGTACCTACATTTTTTTAAAGTATTTTTCCTGTCTTATATTGATAAGTACCCCCCCCCCCCCAAAATCTAACGATCTTTATCTGTGATCCACATTTCTCGCACTTCATTGAAGAAGCAATTAGCAAGGTTTCCTCCAAAAATTTAACATAAATTTCTTCTGACGCTTGTAAGAATTTATAAATAAATCTTAACAGAAATCAATAACAGCATTTGTCTTCAAAACAGACATATCCATTCCATCTGAAATCTGAGGAATTCGAAGAGATGAATAATAAAATTTTTAAATGGCGCGGTAATGCACAAATATTCAGTAACCAATCAGGGAGCTGATTACATCACGTATAGAATTAAAATTGTTTAAATAATCATTCATAATAAAATCATTTAAAAATGCAAAATTAAATTGTATTTTAATATTTAACAGCCATAAATAATGTTTAAAACATTAGATAAAATATATAGATATTAATTAAACCAACCAAGTAACCACTTTTTAAGTAAGGTGGCATCATTAATTAGATCATCCACAACATAAAATTATATAAAGTATCATAAACAAAATTTTTATTTCAAATAAAAATGCAAAATTAAATTGATTTTTAATATTTAGAAGCCATAAATAATATTTAAAACTTCTAATTTATGCATAATAAAACACATTATTTAAAAAATAAAATGACAAAGTATCGGTTACCATAAATAACTTGTCCAGCAATGGGTTTACCATAAGTCTTATTCCTCACCAAAAAAATATCGGTAAAATCAGTGCAACTGTCTACCAAAGTAGCACCCGAGTCTTTAACCTGGAGTGAATGGCTCTCTCACTAAATTGGTGAGATATTTGCCAAGCTGGCAATGGATTTAGGGGACTAATTTGTATCACCAGACTTGGTGACATTTTGGGTTGGCCTTTGTATAATTGTTACGATATTGTGTTGAATAACTGTAATTGATCCTATATGAAGTTGTAAATGTATCCAGACCTCATATGCATTCCAGTAATTCAAGAATTGGAAGATATTAAAGATTTCTCATTGGCTGGGGGAAAACTGTGGAAGACCGGAAAGCTAGAGCTTAATCTGGAATTCTGAGACATCTGTGAGAGCTTTGCCATTTAGATGCGTTGTGTTTAACGTTCTTAATGGTTTCGAGTGTAACTACTGATACTGAAAAGAAGTGTATGAGTATTTTTGTGAGAACCATAAAGTGTTACTTTTGGTAAAATAAATGTTATCAAACTATCATAGGTTCTTTGTGCATTCAATCCAATATAAGCCCGTACACATGCAACAAAAAATGCTCCTATATCAAACAACTGGATCAGATTAAATAATATTGTACAGGGTAACTGCACAAACTTATCAATACTGGTCTCTGGCATTAATGTTTTATAAGAGTTAAATTAGAGCTCATTTGCTAGAATTTTGGAAATGCCTTGCATAATACATTGCAGCAAAACTCCAGGATTGAAAAAAAGGAAGAAAATATAACAAGCTGTTGCCAATTCTTGAAAGCTAAGTTAGTGTTGAAATCTAAGTTTTTCTTTACAAAAGCACCGATTATTTTACTAGTTATCTCGTGCAAAACTTAATCCCACACGATGCATAGTTAATCTGATTATAAAATGTTCTCTTTTTTCCAGGGATGGTGTATTTTCTACTAAATTAAAGCTTTCAAAAGGTGTACACCATTTAAAATATCTTGTGGATGGCAACTGGACTGTTGATGAGAGTCAGGTATTTGAAGTGTTTTTTTATGTAAAATAATTGCTGTCATAAATTAACTTTTATTTTTATTCTAAAGTTTTGCTTCTTGTGAGATATGTAGAAAATGAAGTTGTCTAATTTATTAATTTCTCTAGAGAGATGACCTAAATAGGGAAAAACTTGTGTCAAAATTGTAAACTGCTAAAAACTGAAGAATCTGTATTTCTGTATGTTTAATATTAATTTAATTTATTAAACCTTTTTATTATCAGAGAACATGAAGAGTTCATCCATGTTTATCTTCCGTTATATCTTCAAGTGTATTATTGAATTTTGTTTAATCTTCACCATAATTGTTATTTCGATCCATAAATAATTGAACAACATCCAAACAAACATCCTCCTGCACCATGATATCCATTTTCTTTTGCAAAATGAATGACTTTACATTTGAAAGCAGCACTGTTTCTTTCATGGGAGCCATATTTAGTGCTAATACAATCTACCCTCTTTGCTGGAATATTATATTCCTCAAGCACATGCCACACACATATTGTTCCCCTTATCGCTTGACAATGTGGTTTACTATTGTTCAAAAGGCTAGGACAAATCTTCAAATAAGTGACTTAAAAATATAAGAGCATTGCACATGTATCTTTTAGGTTTCCTCATGAAGGACAGAGTTCATTTTATACGGTGAATATGCCTAAGAATAAAAAAAGTAGCTTGAAATTATAGATGTGCGTTATAGCCCGTAAAATGTGGTATTTTGTTACATTCATTAGCTTTTTTCAGTATGATTCTACTTTAACCCAAAGTGACAAATATAAGGTATTCTGTCTTTCCTTAAGGCATCCATTTGTGCTGTAATTGGTCGGTATGTTTGAAATTGAAATTAAAATTCTAAAAAATAGTCAGCATATACATATCAGCCATAAATGCAGTTTTCCTCACATCGTATTTACAAAATAAAAAATTACTATTTGAGAGAAGGAATCTTCTGTTCATGGAGAAATGTTTCAGAAAAAGATTAAGTTTACATTTCTACAGATTAAGTTCTCATTCCTAGGCATGGCTTCATGTTATCATTTGGATATTATTATTATTGATTACCAAAAGCCCCACTTTTTGTATACCAAAGCATGGAAAATTCATTGCTTATTGTGATCAACAGTTCTGTTAGTATATTCAAAATATTTTATTAATGTTGCTGCTTATTAATGTTATAATTGTGCAGTTTAAAAATTCTATTGGCACTGAGTCTGAGAATATTACTTAGCTGAAATTTATTTCATGCTTTGGTACATTCATTTTAAGAATAAAACTAAAATATTGAAGGTGAAAGTGTATTAATAAAAATAGGATTTGCTGAGTAATTTTTTTTAAACTGAAGTAAAATCAGTTCCCAATTTACCGAGATACGTCTCCAAGTAAGAGATTGTTTTCAAATATGGGTTTTGATTTTAGTTAATTGTTTAAAATTAGGCTAAAAAACCATAGTTTGTAAATTTTCAATGACTCTGTTGATTTTGAGGAAACCTGTTACAGGTCCTTTTTCTTCAGGAGAGGGGGGGAGGAATACCTGAAAACATGAATGCCCAACTTAGTTTTTTTTCCCAGTGGGGGGGGGCAGAGGAAGGCTAATTTTGAATTTTACATTCATAAGTTCTCTTCCTATGAGGGATGTCCTCCAACTATTATGGTTAGGAGTACAGATTTCCAGAAACATTATGAAGCATTTATAATTGAATTTTTGCACTGAGAAATTATGAACAGCTCATAAACAAGCTTTTCCATTTTCTCATTTGAAGTAATGCTTGCTTCAGTCTACTAGTAATAATAACACTAGAAAAATTTGCAGACCGTCTACTTTTTTTTTATAATTAATATGCTAAGTATTTCTTTCTAGTTATATTAAATGAGTTAAATTCCACTGCTGTTTTGAAGGATGTTTTTTCTCATTGTTTACTGTTTTTAAAATAGCTGCAGACAAGTATGATCACATTAAGTGACACTTGCTGTACACATTTTGAGCGCAAATTCAACAATATATGTAACAGTTTCCTTAAGTTGACTTTATATTAAAGTAAAAATAAATTGAGAGGAACATTGTGCTTGCCTTGTACATTTCAGGCATATAGAAATTGTATATTTGCTTTTCAATTGGTAGTAAAGCCATGTTTCCTTTCTTTTATGAGCAAAACATTCCTGCATATTTTTGAACCCCCCAAACTTTGATGTATTTGTGATGGTTGCTAAGCACTTAAAGTCTTAAAATTGAGTACTTTCAAAATAACTTAAATTGAAATTTTAGGTATTTTTGGAAGCAACAAAATGTTGTAGTTAAAAATCGATTAACAGGAACAGTTATAGAAATTTGAGTATATACATAAGTGAGTCTCCTCCAAACTAATATGGAATGTTGAACCAAAAAGGATTATTTTAAGTTAATGTTTATTTTAAGAGAAGCAGTGAGGAATGCTTAAAATTGAGATTAAAATATGCTAATGCTCAGTACACATATTTTTGGCTACAAATTCGATTTTTCCATGTTTTCTACGTTTTATTTATTGCTTTAGAAGCTTTCTGATCTCATCATTGTTTATAAACTTATTAACATTCACATTGAGACTCTTTAAATGTTGTGTGCATTAATTTTATATATATATTTTGTAGTTATTCTTATATGAAAGATTCTAATTGCAGAGGTTAATTAATGCTTGGGACTAATTCAGAAGTCAAATAACAAAAATCAGCGTTATATTTTTGAAATTTTCACAGGACTAGTTTCGATGGTTTTTACCGAACCACCATCCTCAGCTGCAAAACCGCAAATGAGCAAGATAGGAAATAATGACTAGATAAGATAAGAAAGCCTGGACAGGAATAAGCAAGTGCCACCATCTGTTGTTATCATTATGTTTTAGTTCTGGTTTCATCAACAGATGGCACCACTTGCTTATTCCTGTCCAGACTTTATCTTATCTAGTCATTATTTCCTATCTTGCTCATTTGCATGGTGGTTCGGTAAAAACCATCGAAACTAGTCCTGCGAAAATTTTGAAAATATAATGCTGATTTTTGTTGTTTGACTTCTGAATTAGTATTTATTCGGCGTGTTATTGTCTTAATTAATGCTTGGGACTATTTAATGATTTGAGAGACTTAGTACGAGAGTAGTTAATAATTTTTTCAGTATTATACACTGATAAATGTTTAAGTATTTTAATAAAAGTGAATTTTTATTAAAAGTAATCAGTCACTAACCATATGGTTTAACAATATATGTCAAAATTTTCCCAGTGTATATTTAACCTTCTTTGAAATACTATAAATACCAATTCAAAATTTCAGCTCAAACTAAAGCCAAAGTCTTGAAAACCTGTTAAATGCTAATATTAGCTGATTTGAATCGATTTTCTTTCAGCTTTAGAAAATTTAAAGGGGAAAAAAGATTGTTTCTCCCATTCTTTTTCTTCTGGTATTGATTATGTATTCACCTCATTTCCATTGTTCCTCTCATTGGAATAATATTTCATAATGATGATTTCTGTGTGTCTTATTGGCTGTTTCATAATAATTATTTCTGTGTGTCTTGTCTTTTTTGTTAATTATTCTTATGTGTCTTCATTATGAAATGATTTTAAAATGCTAGTCCATACAGGAAAACCCAGAAAACTAAACATCATGATCATCAGCAAGTTATGAAAACAAAACCAAAATGTAAATAAGAAATCTTTAGAATAAATGTTACATAAAGTTTGATCGGATTTTAAAAGATTTTAATTCTGAAAGATTTTTTTAAAAAAAAAAGTACTTATGAGAACTATATACAACATAACTTTCCAAGTTTTCCAAGGAACCAAAAGTAAAAAAGAAATTTTTATAAACTACATCAGATAACTTCTACAGAATTTTAAATATATCTTCTCTCGAGTTGTGTATAGAAATTTTGTAGAAATATAAATCTGTAAAATCTGTAGTTTGCAAAGCTCCCTTATGTAGAATCTCATAATGCATATTGAAGCAACTAAGAATTCTATTGAAAATGTTACAGTTGACATAAAATTAAGTATTTTCTAAAGAATTCTGTTAGTTGTTTTGATTTCCAGAATATTTAAATATAAATAAATACATTTTAAATTATAGTTGTTTAACTGAAATTAAGAAATCATTTCTTTTATCAGGTACATATGCAATGATTACAAGTATCAGGGTTGCCACGCTACCTGGAAAACCGGGAGAACCGGGAAAAGCAGGGAATTCGAAATTGACAAAAATTAGGGCAAAAGTCAGGGACTCTGGCAAAAGTCAGGGAAGTTCATACAACGATCCCGCCAACAAAAGGATTTTTGCGCCGACGTCGGAAGAGGTAACTTTTTGGCGAATTATGTATCAGTGAGTGTCATTAGGGAGCTGGCATAGAGCAATTTTCGCAGTTCAATTTGATTGTCTTTTAGAAAGGCAAAGCACTTTTCGCACTTTTGTTCCAATATTTTCGAGAATCGCATGTGCAGTGCATGAACTAAAAGTACCTGTTCTCGTATAAACAAATGGGTTTAACCTAGTATACGTACCATGGAGGTTAGAATCAAAGCATGATTGTAAAGAAGGAAAACCTCTCTGCAACGACGTGGCTGTGGCCGTCCATCATAGAGGAAAAAAGCGTGTATGTCTGAGATATCTGTCGCCAAAGCTCGAAACCGGTGTCGAAGTTAAGGTCACGTTATCAAGAGTTCATAAAATGAAATCGTTTAAAATTTCTTTAACCACTTGCGCCATTGCCCACGCACGTCAAGATGCTTTTGTCTCAAACGCGAGCGATTGAACCACGTCGCTAACCATTTATCGCAAAATGAAAATAAGTGGTGCCGGTCGCCTAACAACGAGATTGTTATTTCTCGAGTTCAGCTTGGATGCTCGCGATGCCGGAGCGGCGTAAATGAGACACTTTACGGCTTGTTATATTGTAGCGCCGGCCCGCACCGTGCGTTAGTCTTAGGCAAAGGTTCTTCCCTAAAGGAAAAAAATATTTTGGGCGCAAGTAAATTAATTTATGGATTATTATTTTCAGGGGAAAAAAAAAAACTACGAAAATTATTGCGAAAACCAGAAAACGTCCTTGACGTTCTTTTGGATTTTCCGCTGTAATTTAAAAGGATTTCGTAATTTTCTTTTTGTCATAGAGCGTTTCTTCTTACCAGGTTTCTCAATTTCCTTCTCGGAGGGGAAATTCTCCCGCCAGGTCGTCGCAAATTTGGCACATTTTTCTCCGCTCTAGCGGCGTAATCGCTTTTACGTGTTGGAACCTTTTCTTTACTAGACGTTCTTTGGTTAGATAATAATGGGATGGCGACTCTTGATGCGCAGTAAACGGGTCATTTGGTCTTGGCGACAATTTTCAAAATCGTGCCGAAGCCTTCCGTATAATAGAATTTACCGCAAAATCTTTTAAATTTTTTTTTTTTTTTTTTTTTCATAAATTACCTTGCCATTTTGCAGTTAAAATAAAAAAATAGGGTACTATTCCGTTTTGAGGGCCACGTAAAAAAGTTGCAGCGAAAATGTACGCGCCAAAGCGCCAAATCTAGCAAACGCGCCCATTTAAACACAGCGCGCCAAATTAGCGTAGCGTTGATTTCAGATTCGTAAGTTTATATAGTTTCTAATTTCTTAAGACGCCATTGAAATATAGTTAATTTTTAAATCCTTTTTTATTATCCTATGAATTTAACAATTTGGGAATTGCCCATGACGAAAAGTCTGCAATAGAATTTGGGAAAAGTGTAGAATCAACCTGCTTGATGCGTTTTTAAGAATTGCAATACTCGGTACTCCATGTGCACATCGACTTATTTCACTTTTAAAAAAAATCCCTAGATGCACAAAAATGGCACTGCTCAACCCTTGACTTATTTTATGCACATCGACCTATTTTCACTTAAAAAGTAAAAGAAATTGACAAAATCCAATTTGTTTTTACCCTGTAAAAAAACGGCAAAAAACCTCTGCACTTTACCGAGAATATTTTCAAAGAAAAGGCATCATTCGTTATAGAAAAATACCGAAACAACCAACGAGATGAACTTAAAAATTTTAAATTATGCTTTCGGTAGCGAATAGCGATGAAGCATCCATTCTTTATGTTTACAATTTTTTATAAATAATAATAATGATCTGAAATAGTATTTATCTTATGCTTCCATTCAGTCATGTTAGCCTTTTCATAACATTATAATAATAAAAATCATTATATGAAATTATCCTTTCATCTAAATTAACATCAATCTTAGATAGTTTTTTATATTATACTTATATCCTGCCGCAGTTATTAGGGTTGCCGCAATTATTTTTGGCAGCATTGGCATCAACAATATTTGGCGATTTTTTACGGCCCCGACAGAATACCAAATAGTATCGGTCATCTAGGCTAGCCACGTAAATATAACTATATTCGCTAAATATGTTGATTTTATTCAATTTTTAAGTAATTATTTGTTATCATATAATTTAATGTTGCTTCTTCCCTCTAAATTTATTAGTAAATAATATTTCAAATTTCAGGAAATTTCTCTGCATAATCCTGAAATTAATTATAGCAGTATGATTGACATACCATCACGAAATTTAATGCACATATTTCCTTATGTATGCTGCGAAATAAATTAAAATAGTCAATTTATTAAAATAGATTTCTTTCTTTCGTTTAGCTGCAGAATGTCTGCAAAAAAAAAAAAAAAGCCTTATTTTATTCCAGATTGGGAAGATTATAATCTCAATCTTCAGTGGAGAAACAACAACTATTTAATTTATTTGTGTAAGGTGCCTTTAGAACATACTCACGCAAATTAAATTTACCTAAAATCTAACTAAATATTTAGCATTGTCGTTGTGATTTATAAGGACCGGATTAGCCTCGTGTTGAACTGGTGATGATTGAGTAATAATTAAAAAACACAGTGTTATCCAATATATAATTATCTTTTTATTAAGTTTCTTAAGTGGAAAACTAAACAAAATTATTAAGCAAAGTATACCAAGAATAATTAAGACTAAATGTCCTCTGGGAGTTATTGAATAATTAAGTCAATTTGCTACACAATACAAGTAATACCATAATTAATTTACCTCTTAGCACAGCCAACGTACATTACGTGGATAGACTGGAATTTTCTTGAAACACACCTGGAAAACCTGGAAAAGTCAGGGAATTTCATTCTCCTGTTTGAGTGGCAACCCTGAAGTATTCATTTCAAGAATTAGAATTCCATAATTAACAGCATAAATGTGATCTTTTAATTAATTTTATCATTTAAACTGATTTTTGTTTTTATAAGATCTGGTTGTATTATATAAGCAATACTGTGTGTTTGAGGGGGGGGAGGGAGAATAGCACTAGATTACATAAATGTAGAAGCTGAAAGACTTGAAGCTAAAGGCAAAAGGCAATTTCTATTTAAAAATGAATCAATATTTAGGAATAAAAAATGTTTTTTACTCTTTTGTATCCCACATAGTGCCTGAAACTTTTCTTTGCTACAGTTTTGAAAACTTTGCAAATTTTTTACAATACCATTCTATAAAGGCTTTATAAAATTTTTGTGTGATTTTGCAAAGCAGCATTTCTGTAGAATCCTGTTCTATAAAAGATATATCAGATGTCTATAGAATTTTGTAGAGAAACATTTATACAGATGATTACCTATGATGTTATATAGAGCTTTATGTGCTTCTATTTAAAAAATTAAGGATTGCAATTATTATGAATTTCTTAAAAAATAAAGAATTTTTTGATGGACAAAATTCTCGAGAGAAGTACAAATGTTTTGAATGTGAAAATATGAAATTGTGAAAATGTTTTGAGAAAATATTGAAATAGGAAAATATCTGGGGCTTTGCTCAACAGATTTCTCTGAACAGATTTTGCTGTGTATTAAATTTACAATTTTAAAGTTTAGATTTTTAATAATGATTCATATTTTTAATTTTTTACTTTGTGTTTGCAGTAAATGTATCCATTTTGATATTTTAAAATTTTTTCATAGCCCATTGTGAATCTGGACGATCATGGCCAAGTGAACGTGCTCACGGTACAAGCCGATTAGACAAGAATGCCATATGTGTACATTTGGAGAATCTGCCACTTTATGAAGAAATTTTATGAAAATAGTTTCATTATTCCATGCTTGGAAGTCTTAAAATTTTAAGAATGCTTTGAAAAAGTGGGGATATATACCTGATCTAAATCATTATCAAGATAACATAGAACTTTGACTGATAACATTGAGTGGGTTGCGATAAAGCTGTGACTATATCAAATTTGAGTTCGCCCCCATATCTCTTTATCGCATCCTTACAGCAGTTTGTGGCACAAAGAATGTTGTTTCTTCTTTGATAAAGAATGGGATATAAAATGTTTTTCCTTAAACAAAAACCAAAAAAAAATTTTTTACTGTAGCAATGTCTAGTATAGGATGTGTATGTGCTAGTTTATTGACTTTATCTCAGCAAAATCGTAACAAGATACAGTGCTTCAACCTTACATGTCTGGATTTATCGAAGGCTCTTACTTAAATGAACAAATGTCTAATCGTACATATGGGTTTAAGAGAAGGAATAAAATGTTAGCAACACATTTATCTTGAAGGTATCTTTGATAGGCAGCCAAAAAGGATATAAAGCTGGAATAAATATCAACCTGCTATATTCTTTTTGTTTCTATTAAAAGTTTGCTTATATTTGAAATGGTTATTTAGTTTAATAATTATTTGTTCACTTTGCCTGTGTAATGTTACATATTTTTCTGTATTAAATTGAGATTTATGAGAGAAAGAAATGTATAAGAAAATTGAGAAATTTATGGTTGCTTTAAATCTTTTTTGAGAAACTGCATAAAATATTCATTTATGTTTTCCTGACTAGGCTGTAAAAAGTATTTATCGAAGGTATTTTTGATTTTTGTTAATATTTTTATATCGATGTTTTCCCCTTTGAATGTGCATTAATAAATGAATCCTTGATAGTATTTAACTGCTGAATCCATGATTGTATTTAACTGCTGAATCCTTGACAGTGTATAACTGGTGAATTCTTGATAGTATTTAACTGACACATCTTTGGAATTTCCGAATTTTCAAAAGAAATTTCAGGGTTTACCTGTTACAAAGGAGGAAAAAGTACAATATATACATTGCATTTAATTTATTAAAAGTATTTTTCTGAGCCCACTTTTACAGTTTTAAAATATATTTGCTTAATTTCAGTTTTAACTGCTTGAATTTGATAGAATGTTAATGAAACTTTTAGCATAATTTCTGGATTTGAATAAATATTCTCATTTTTATATTCTCTTCATATCATACGAGTAGTATTACTCCAATTTTTAAGGCTACATTAAAAAAGCTGTGAAATAATCATAGCATGTCTTTGCTCATCTAAATTTTATCTGAATTTGTAGTTCTTTCTACATATTTGTAAGTGAACAATTTTTTAACATTTTACGAACATGCCAAATCTTTATACAGAGATTTTACACTTTTAAAAATAGTTGTTATCATCAAAATTTAATCAACTTGAAATTATGTGTAAGGTGTTTGTTTTCTGTGTTTGAATTTTTGTTTTTGTACGTGAAATTTTGAGTCAGATGTTTGCAAATATGTAGTGCCTTCATGTAAAATTTCTTTAACTTTAGATTCCATGTGTTTATACAACTTTTATATCAGTTTTTGGTGCTGCTTTTGATAATAAGACAAACAGGAACTCCATGAAAAGGAACATTAATAATCTTGATTAAAAAAGAATTTAAGTTCTAGTCAGCCAAAAATATTTAACATAATACATGGGATTTTCTCTAGAACATGATTTTTAAAAACCTAATTTAGCTGAAACCTTTTGAGTTATAAAATATGAAGTGTTTATGTTGTGTCATATGTTAATATTTTGTACTGCAAACTGCTTTTTCAAATAAATTTTTTCAAAGGACCACTTATGTGTTATGTATTTCTTAATTCATTAGATTACCTTCATTTTGTACTCCAGAGATCTCAAACTCGAAATTCATGCAGGCGAAATGCTATATATGAAAACAGTCGACTGGCCAGAATATCTAACAAAAAAGTTTTAAATACATTTCTGATATAACTTACCAAATATTTATCAAAATATATATAAACAATAATATTGCAAAGAAAAAAAATTTAAATTTTTACGTATTTTCTGTCTGAAATCTGAAGTTTGGTACATGCAAAAAATTTTTTTTGATTTCCTTGTAATTCAAATATATTGATAATTAAATTTTTAGACTGGCATATGTCTCAAATAATGTGTTTAATTAATTCAATTTAAACTAAAAATAAGTAAATATAAAGAGTTAGATTTTAAAGAAAATTTACAGAGGGAAAAATTGTGAATAAACAACAACCTTGTTCTTTTTTAATTTATTAAATTTTTCTATAGTGCATAATTAAAACTAAATATTATTCTATATAATAAACTTTTTATTTCTTATAATTGATTATTTCAGTATGATGAAAGTTCGTAGCCCTGGAGAGAAAGTACTAGAAATTATCTTATCACAACCTGTAGATGCTCATCAGTCAATGAGGTTTTCTTAATAATTTTTAACTGCAAAAATATACTATTCTCCTGTTCCCAAGCAAAGTGATTGTTCTTAATGTAAAATCTTTGAATAAAATTTATATCAGATTGTAAATTTATTAGTTCTGTTTGTAGATTTTCTGTTATTAATGTTTATTTATAAGGGAAAGTAATATAAACTGACTTCAAGTAACTAAAATCTTGACTACTTTGCAACAAATAAATTTATTGAAATAGCTTTGTGGGCCACATAGAATTGATTTAGCCATGTTTTACAATTAAATGCATAGGCATCAAATCGGTTTAAAGTATTTCTCTGGCTTTTAATACATTTTATTTAAATGAAAGCATTTTTACATTGACAGACGTATTACTCTTGTTGAAAAATTTGCACATGTTCCACATTTTACTCTTAAATGTTTGTATTTTTTTCAGACTAATTTTGATTCAGTCTTTAAGTCTCTGGGTTATTTATTTTCATTCGCTTTGCCTTGGCCTTTTCAATATTATCCAAATTATTTCTCAAAATCTAATTCATCAGTGGAAGAGGATGATAGAGACTCGGTTGTAATATCTGCAGTTTGACTGTTCTTATTTGAATACTCCAGTTGTTCTGAGAATAATTTCATTCTTAATGAAAGTTCATAGTTGGCTTTATTTGCCTTTTTAATTTATTTGTCATCAAACAAAATTCGGCGTTTTGAATTTACATATATTTAACCCAGCACGATCTTACTGTCTAGCAAATTAGTTTCCTTTTTCTTTATTAAATAAATGATTCCTTCTGCAATAAACTCTCCATTTCAGAAAGAACAAACATCACATTCTTCCAGTCTTGCCTCTTGTTAATTCTTCAGATTGTAGCTTTTTAGTGGCTATATACGGTATAGAAAGAAGTTTTTCTAATTCTGCAAAATCATTCCACAGTCTTTCTGATAGTAAAACATTAGGGTTATTTACATCTTCTAACATTCTCGTCTCCTGTTAATTCTTCAGATTACAGCTTTATTGTGGCTATATACGGTGTTGAAAAATGGGTTTCCAGTTCTGCAAGATCATTCCACAGTCTTTCTGTTAGTAAATATTACGATTATTTACATCTTCTGAAAAAGTTCTTAATCCTAACAACCACTTTATCATCAAATATGTGTTTCTTCATTGCATTGCTCCTTTTCCTGCTCGCTTCCTAAGAATGGCATCAATTTTGGGAGTTCTTGCTGCTTACCTCAATTCACCAATGAGATAATAACTAAATGAAATCATTAATCAATAATGGAAATATCCGCCACCTGCTCCTTATATTTAAATAAATAGAAAAAATATTTTAGGATCGAATGATGCCACTACAAATTTAATTTTCAGCATGAGTACTATTTGATATTTTTTTAAATCTATTTCCAAATAAACTTCACAAAACCCCAACTACGAGATCGTGACATCACAAACTGGCGGCTGACAATCGCCGTTGGTCACCTACTACCTGCCTTTAAACTATATATGTTTTTAAAGCTTTACTAACAGGAGGGTATTTTCTAATGATGTAGATACATATTATTTTTCTTTTTTACTTTATATATATTGAAAATATATATTTTCAATTCATTCGCGGATATAATATTGGAAACATTTTCCTTTGCACAAAATATATTATTAATTTTTGTATGATCTTATATTGTATGTTTACAGTTAAAATAATGCTTTAAAGTACTGGTTGACTTTTGATAAGGACTTAAGGTAATGTTGGAATCTCTCTTCATACTAATAATATTCAAGTCACTTAACTGCATAAAAAATATATATAAGAAGGATGTGTGGAAATATTTTTAAGGATATTAGAAGTTTTTAAATTTTAGCAGGGTAGATTTATAAGCACACATATTACACGAAAAACCTAAATTTTCTAAACCTTTTATTATTTTCACAATATATCCATGCAAAAATTGTGCTGATAATGATTTTACTGGGACAATACTTATAACATCCTTATATGAAGATCTAATACTCTGCAGCATAAAAACACAAGCAGAATTAGCAGCGTTTTCACAATTATATTTTGCTACATTCCTATTATATTTTCACCTTTGAAATCTAAGAATGGCTTAATGTGAATTTCGTCAACCATTAAAGTGACATATTATCGTTTTCGTCTAAAAAGCGGATTTTTTTCCTTAGCATAATTCAGGAAATTTTCAGGAGTTTGCTCCACTTTAGATCAACATTATATTCAGAATACAATCTTTTCAATGTAGAAGGATGTGGCAAAGTAACATATGCACTATTTCTTAAAAATTTATAGCAATGTGGAGAAATTGAAAACATCAAACTTGATAATATTAACAGATCAGAACTATACCTATTATTATTTTTATGCAAAACGAGTAATGTCAGCTGCTCAAATATAAACTGAACTACTTTCTTTTTATGTTCAGGGGCATTTTTTTCTAATTCACGAAGGCCTTGAGTTACGAATAATAAATTTTTAAAGCTGTTTTCATTATTATCACCTTTAATTTTTGCAACTTCTTTAAGCAATGAACAGAGATTATGCACATCATTAATTTTTAAAGGGAATTCATGGTTACTAATTTTTGTTAATGGAATATCTCTAAAATATGCTTCCACTTGCAGATCATCATGGATAACGACTGATGCAGAAATAAAAGGAGCAAATTCTGTGCTTATCTGGAGAAAAAATATACTATTTTCTTTAATCACAACTGTTAAATCATCAGGTATCTTAACATTTTTTAGACATGATGAAAGCTCACTCAGATTACTATAATTACCTAATTACTAATTTTAAAGTAATAAAAGTAGGATTTCTAGTAATGCAATTTATATTTTAACAAAACAGGTAATAGCAAGCATATGTGTGTTTGTCTCCCACTCGGGAGGGGGGGGAAGAAAAGGATTCTTAGTGACATAAGTTTTAATAATATTTGAATTT